CCAGAATTTCTGTTGATAGAAATATTGGAATGTGTGGAACTTGACGAGAATCTGATGCCTATTTCGCGATTTATGGGAGCTATAATTTTTCATAATTTTGGTGTCGTTATGGGGGGGAGGTACCAGAAGAAGTGGACCGATATATCCCATATTCACACCAGATCTTGTATTGTCAGAAATATTAGAATGTGTGGAATTTGAGAAAAATTTGATGCCTTTTTTCGCATTTAGGGTATTAAAAATACTAACACCTTTTTGAGGGGAGTTACCAGAGGGTGTAGACCGATATATCTCATCTTCACAACAGTTCTTGTTTTGGTACAAATATTGGGATGTGTGGAATTTGAAGAGAATCGCATGCTTATATCGCATTTTATGAGGGCTATACTTTTTCAAATTTTTAACCCCTTTGTGTGGGACGTATCAGAAGGAGTGGACCGATATATTCAATCTTGGCACCAGATCTTGTGTTAGCACAGGTATTGCGATGTATCAAATTTGAAAAGAATCTGATGCTTATTTCTTTTTTTTATGAGCATTTTTGTAATTCCAAAATTTTACCCCTTTGTGTGGGAAGTTACCAGAAGGAGTGGACCGATATATCCCACCTTTACACTAGATCTTAGATTAATAAGAAATATTAACATGTGTGAAATTGTAAGAGAATCGGATTCTTCTTTCGCATTTTATGAGTTTTGAGGTTATTCAAAATTTTGACCTTTGTCTTTCCAGAGATAGTGGACCGAGATAGTGGACCGATATATGCCATCTGTTGCGATAGTAGAAATTTTGAGATTTGTGAAATTTCAAAATAAACGGAAATTTTTTTCATATTTTATAAGAGCTATAATTATTCAAAATTTTAACCCTTTGAAAGGGGTTTTCGCACCTGACCACGGCCTGATACAAAATTTTGGAATTTTCAAATCTAGAACAAAATCGGATAATCTTTTCATGCTCTTTGGGGTAAATTCCATTTGACCTCTTATGAGTCCAGAAGTAGTGGGCCCAGGAGTGTCCACATTTGAACTCGATATTACGATTTTCCAAATTCGGACCAAATCGAATCCGTTCTTCGTGAATTATCGTGCGCCCCCAGCCAGCCAGACCGACGGATGGATACCCCTATATCAACTCCAAATGTCCTAAAACGGATTTGGTCCAAGGAAACCTAGGCCAAAAAGCCCTTTTTTGGCCGTAACAAATGATATACATATACCTTCTGCAACCTTGTGGCTGAGGGTATAATTGTGTCCATATTGTCTTATGTCCTGAAAAATTATTTTTTTAGAAATCGACGCTCTTTTAAAAAATTATAATTCAAATAATATTTTTTAAAAATCCAGACAAAAAACTCCAAACAAATTTTTCTATTTCAATTTCCCCAATTTTTTGCCAATTGACATCACAGGAAAACATGGATATCCTGTGATAGATTTTTTTCTGCCATTCATTGTCTTATGTCCTGAAAAATTATTTTTTTTAGAAATCGACGCTCTTTTAAAAAATTATAATTCAAATAATAGTTTTGAAAAATCCAGACAAAAATCTCCACTTCGATAAATGATCCTCGAAAAAATATTCCCAAAAATCCTCAATTGTCCTTTGAAATTTGTGGCGCCCAAATAAATTTTTCTATTTCAATTTCCCCAATTTTTTTGCCAATTGACATCACAGGAAAACATGGATATCCTGTCATAGATTTTTTTCTGCCATTCATGGAAAAACATGGGAAACATACATTCGAACCCAACAAAATATATAACATGAAAATTGCAAATTTAAATATAATATCCGGTCTGCTCACAAGGCTATTAGTTCGAAGGAAGAAGCCTCAAATTTATGCTCTCGAGAATATGACAACTATGTGTTATCTGCTACAAGGCACGTGAGGAAGAGGGGGGACTTCCATACCAGGATCTCTGGTTGATTGTTTTGAAATGACTACCAGAATTAGGTTTACATATGGAGACATTGGATATTTTTGAACAGAATAAGGATTTAAAAATGTAACCCATTGTAGGGGGAGGTGTCAGAAGGTGTGGACCGATATCTATCATATTCACAGAAGATCTTGTGTAAATCGAAATTTTGCGATGTGTGAGGTTTGGAATGAATCTGATTCATATTTTATTTTGAGTTTTATGAGTGTTTTGGTTATTTAAAATGTTGACCTCTGTGTGGGGAAGGTACTAGAAGGAGTGATCCGATATATCTCATATACCCAGTAGATCTTGTGTTATTAAAAATATTGGGGTGTGTCGAAATTGAGGGGAATTGGATGCCTCTTTCGCGTTTTATGACAGACATAAGTATTAAAAATGTTGACCCCTTTGAGGGGGAGGTACTAGAAAAAGAGGACCAATATATCCCATATTCACACCAGAATTTCTGTTGATAGAAATATTGGAATGTGTGGAACTTGACGAGAATCTGATGCCTATTTCGCGATTTATGGGAGCTATAATTTTTCATAATTTTGGTGTCGTTATGGGGGGGAGGTACCAGAAGAAGTGGACCGATATATCCCATATTCACACCAGATCTTGTATTGTCAGAAATATTAGAATGTGTGGAATTTGAGAAAAATTTGATGCCTTTTTTCGCATTTAGGGTATTAAAAATACTAACACCTTTTTGAGGGGAGTTACCAGAGGGTGTAGACCGATATATCTCATCTTCACAACAGTTCTTGTTTTGGTACAAATATTGGGATGTGTGGAATTTGAAGAGAATCGCATGCTTATATCGCATTTTATGAGGGCTATACTTTTTCAAATTTTTAACCCCTTTGTGTGGGACGTATCAGAAGGAGTGGACCGATATATTCAATCTTGGCACCAGATCTTGTGTTAGCACAGGTATTGCGATGTATCAAATTTGAAAAGAATCTGATGCTTATTTCTCTTTTTTATGAGCATTTTTGTAATTCCAAAATTTTACCCCTTTGTGTGGGAAGTTACCAGAAGGAGTGGACCGATATATCCCACCTTTACACTAGATCTTAGATTAATAAGAAATATTAACATGTGTGAAATTGTAAGAGAATCGGATTCTTCTTTCGCATTTTATGAGTTTTGAGGTTATTCAAAATTTTGACCTTTGTCTTTCCAGAGATAGTGGACCGAGATAGTGGACCGATATATGCCATCTGTTGCGATAGTAGAAATTTTGAGATTTGTGAAATTTCAAAATAAACGGAAATTTTTTTCATATTTTATAAGAGCTATAATTATTCAAAATTTTAACCCTTTGAAAGGGGTTTTCGCACCTGACCACGGCCTGATACAAAATTTTGGAATTTTCAAATCTAGAACAAAATCGGATAATCTTTTCATGCTCTTTGGGGTAAATTCCATTTGACCTCTTATGAGTCCAGAAGTAGTGGGCCCAGGAGTGTCCACATTTGAACTCGATATTACGATTTTCCAAATTCGGACCAAATCGAATCCGTTCTTCGTGAATTATCGTGCGCCCCCAGCCAGCCAGACCGACGGATGGATACCCCTATATCAACTCCAAATGTCCTAAAACGGATTTGGTCCAAGGAAACCTAGGCCAAAAAGCCCTTTTTTGGCCGTAACAAATGATATACATATACCTTCTGCAACCTTGTGGCTGAGGGTATAATTGTGTCCATATTGTCTTATGTCCTGAAAAATTATTTTTTTAGAAATCGACGCTCTTTTAAAAAATTATAATTCAAATAATATTTTTTAAAAATCCAGACAAAAAACTCCACGTCGATTAAATATTTATTCTGATCCTCGAAAAAATATTCCCAAAAACACTCAATTGTCCTTTGAAATTTGTGGCGCCCAAACGATTTTTTTCTATTTCAATTTCCTCAATTTTTTGACAATTGACATCACAGGAAAACATGGATATCCTGTCATAGATTTTTTTTCGGACATTCATTGTCTTATGTCCTGAAAAATTATTTTTTTTAGAAATCGACGCTCTTTTAAAAAATTATAATTTAAATAATAGTTTTGAAAAATCCAGACAAAAAATCTCCACTTCGATAAATGATCCTCGAAAAAAATATTCCCAAAAATCCTCAATTGTCCTTTGAAATTTGTGGCGCCCAAACAAATTTTTCTATTTCAATTTCCCCAATTTTTTGCCAATTGACATCACAGGAAAACATGGATATCCTGTGATAGATTTTTTTCTGCCATTCATTGTCTTATGTCCTGAAAAATTATTTTTTTTAGAAATCGACGCTCTTTTAAAAAATTATAATTCAAATAATAGTTTTGAAAAATCCAGACAAAAATCTCCACTTCGATAAATGATCCTCGAAAAAATATTCCCAAAAATCCTCAATTGTCCTTTGAAATTTGTGGCGCCCAAATAAATTTTTCTATTTCAATTTCCCCAATTTTTTTGCCAATTGACATCACAGGAAAACATGGATATCCTGTCATAGATTTTTTTCTGCCATTCATGGAAAAACATGGGAAACATACATTCGAACCCAACAAAATATATAACATGAAAATTGCAAATTTAAATATAATATCCGGTCTGCTCACAAGGCTATTAGTTCGAAGGAAGAAGCCTCAAATTTATGCTCTCGAGAATATGACAACTATGTGTTATCTGCTACAAGGCACGTGAGGAAGAGGGGGGACTTCCATACCAGGATAGTGATGTGGGGGTGGTGAGTGGCATCTACATTCATTTTGACCACATACCCAAAGCCTAACTGAGAGCACAATGTCCTTAGTCATATCCTTTTAGCTAGCATGGCAAAATAGGTCATATATAAATTGCTTGGAATAATTTAAGCAGCCGTTTTTAGATTGGTTTTTATTTTCTTAAAAAAAAAATATGAAAGAAAACATGAAAGGATAATTTCCATGAAAATTTTCATTTAAATATTTATTAAATTCTCAAAGGAGTTCTGTTTTTGAATATCCTTTTCTCAAAGGATTTCAATTTTTCTTCATTTTTTTGTTAATAAATTCCATGTTTTTTTGGTATTTTCTTTCCAGGATGTCGGGTGGTTTAATGTCATGTGTAAGGGAGAATTCCCCACCCCTGGATTTGGATGCTTCCGGGCCATTATCACTGCCGGAACCGCGCATTAATACATCCGATTTGTACGATAATGTACATTCATCGTCATCATCATCGCATCAGAACATATTGTCCTCTACGCCGCTGGCGGCACATTCATCGATACACTTGGATGCAGCAACAGCAGCTGGCAGTGCCGGCAGTAATCATGGGGGTGGTGGGGAAGGTGTTCACACGTCAACACCTTTGGCCACCCCACCCAATACAGGTAAGTTATGGTCTTGGATCTCGATTTTTTTTCAATATCTATTATTTCCCCTACCTTCCTACCTCCCTCCCAGACAGTCATGCCATGACTTGAAGCTTTTGTCTATTTTTACATGGCCTCCATGCTGCCTGATACAGGCACTTGAATGTGTCCTTCTGTGCGAGCCATGGATGGGAGGGGAGGAGAATTATTTTTCTTTTCTTTCCTTGAGATTTATAGAAAAAAATCTCCTCATCATCTTCCTCTATTCCATACACTTGACAAAGTATTGCCTCATCGGGCATGGAATATTAAAGGTGTCACTGACTTATTATTGCAGGAGGGAAAAAAAAAGAAAAGAAAAACTTTTCAATGATCCTCTTAGGGCCACAAAACACAACAATGACCTTTTCCATTTAATTGTTGTGTGTTTTTTTCCTTGGAAAAAGGAAGTAAAGTTTTTATTTTCAGAAAAAGGGGAGGAGAAGTGTAAAGAAATTGTAGGAAATATTAGAGATTTATTTAAATTTAAATCATGATTTACGTTGGGCGCCATTTTGTAGTCGGGGAAAAATATATTTTTAAAAATTCAAAATTATCTGATTTTTTTTTTAAATGTCTGATCTGATTTTTTAAATAGTCGAGAAAAAAATATTCAGAAAAATTATCGATTGTCAGAAAATATTTAAAAATATACACAACTGGAAAAAGTAGTGAAAAATTAAAAAAAAATCGAAAAAAATATTTTTACAAATTTCCTAAAATAAAATAAATAATACATCGCGTTTTAAAATAATGACCAGAATTCAATCTGTTAAAATTTAATTCCGGTCTTTCGAGCCTTCAGAACATATTTTTCATTTGATTGTTGTGTGTTTTTTCCTGGGAAAGTAAAGTTTTTATTTTTTGGAAGGGAAGGAGAAGTTTAAAGAAATTATGGAAGATATTAAAGATTTGTTTAAATTTAAATTATAATTTTCGTTGGGCGCCATTTGGTAGTCGGGGAAAAAATATTTTTAAAATTTACAATTATCTGATTTTTTTTAAATCTCTGATCTGATTTTTTAAATAGTCGAGAAAAAATATTCTGAAAAATCATCGATTGTCTGAAAGTATTCTAAAAATACGCGACAGGAAAAAGTAGCGAAAAATTAAAAAAAAATCGGAAAAAAATATATTTACAAATTCCCTAAAAAATAATACATCGCGTCTTAAAATAATGGCCAGAATTCCATCTGAAAATATTATAAGGTATCTGTTAAAATTTAATTCCGGCCTTTCGAGCCTTCAGAACATATTTTCCATTTGATTGTTGTGTGTTTTTTTCCTGGGAAAGTAAAGTTTTTATTTTTATGGAAGGGAAGGAGAAGTTTAAAGAAATTGTAGGAAATATTAGAGATTTATTTAAATTTAAATTATGGTTTACGTTGGGCGCCATTTGGAAGTCGGGGAAAAAATATTTTTAAAAAATTACAATTATCTGAATTTTTAAATGTCTGATCTGATTTTTTAAATTGTCGAGAAAAAATATTCTGAAAAATCATCGATTGTCTGATAGTATTCTAAAAAGTACACGAATGGAAAAAGTAGTAAAAAAAATTAAAAAAAAATCTAAAAAAATATTTTTAGGAATTTTTTTAAAAAAAAAATACGTCTGCCAGAGTTCAATCTGAAAATAATGAAAGATATTTTTTAAAAAATTTAATTCAGTTCTTTCGAGCCCTCAGAAAATATTTTCAACGTTGGGCGCCATTTATTCATTAAAAAAAATAAATAAATAAATAAAAGTAAAAAATGCAGAAAAGCATAGCTAAAAGCAAGGATGTCTTTTTAATTTTACAATGACCACAAGGGTGAGATGAAAAAACTGCAACCAATTTCAGATTGCTGTCATTTCTTTGTCACTCGTCCGACAGCTGTTAAAATTATTCCAGTGAAAGCTGATTATATTGTTTACAAGCGTGCAATATCTTTTTGGTGAGAATTTTCCAGAAAAAAAGTTATTCGTGATGGAATTCAAGCGTGATCAAGTGTGATTTCTTTACATTTTGGCTGGAAAACCACAAGTGGCTATCGTCAGAGCACTCCAGAATTTAAATGTGAATAAATCTTTTGGGTTTCGTACCATCGCTTGTTACCGTGATACTGGTAGCGTAGCCCGACGTCAAGGAAGTGGACGGAAGAAAACAGCAACATCAGCAGAAATGGTTCGAAAAATAAAGAAGCGACTTGATCGAAACCCGCATCGCAGTGGCCGAAAAATGGCCCGTGGGCTGAATGTATCGCAATATTCCCGCCGGCAAATATTAAAAAATGAGGTCGGGGTAAAGCCATTGAAATTGCAAAAAGTGCAAGAACTTACTCCGAGGCAGCAGAAAGAAAATAGACTCAAAAGAGCTAAAGAGTTGCTTCGCTTGGCCGAAAGTGGTAAACTGCCGAATTTGGTTTTCTCCGATGAGAAAACATTCGTTGCCCAGCAGTTTGTAAACAAGCAAAGTGATCGTGTTTACTTGCCAAAGAGGTCAGCTAAAAATGTGCACCTTCGGTTGGCCACCTGAACTCAAGCGCCGGCCATGGTGATGGTTTGGGCCTCCATAACAGCCGATGGTCGCTCTCCGCTCGTATTATTCGACCATGGCATAAGAAAAAAATCCACCTTAATAAAGATCATAGATTAGCCTTAGAGGATATCAATGGCTTTATAGAGTTTTCCTCAGGGAAAGAATGAAAATATCCCCTATGGGCCTGACGTTGGGCGCCATTTTTCTGATTATTTGTTGCGAAAGCTTCAGCTTAGGATATGACACAGAATTCAAAGTTACTTGGTTGTCAGTTTATTATTCCGACTTTGTGTCCTATATCCTGTTTAGGATTAAATATAATTTTCATTTCTGGAAAAAGTTCCAAATCCTTAAAGGATTAACCTTAGAGGATATTAAAGGCCATACAGAGTTTTCCTCAAAGAAATAATAAAATCATCATCTTCATTAGTATGGACCTGACGTTGGGCGCCATTTGCTTTATATAAAATATAGCAAATGTATTTCTGAGCTGTATTTGATATATTTCCCCAAATATTGTTGTTGCAGAGTGCATATTACGGGTGCGGAGGGCAAAAATAACAAATCGGATGAACAATATATATGGGAGCTATAGCTATATCTGAACCGATTTCGATCAAATTTGGCATACTTATTTTCAGGCCTAATTTGGTTGTATGCGCAAAATTATACATACTATTCGGGCTGATATTACACGCTTGGTGCACAATAAAAGGCAAATCGGACGAAGATATATATGGGAGCTATATCTAAATTTTGAACGATTATCTCCAATTTCAATAGGGTTCGTCCTTGGGCCAAACAAATGATTTGTGCAAAATTTCATCTCGATAGGGTAATGAATGCGAACTGTACTTTGTTTACAAAAATACATGGACAGACGGACAGGCAGACGGACGGACATGCATAAATCGACTTAGAATGTGATTCTATGCAGATCATCAAAAGGAACTATGGGTCTATCTCGTTTCCTTTTGTCTGTTACAAACAAATGCACAAAGACATAATACCCTGAGCACCTTGTGGTGTAGGGTATAAAAATAGAATTGTCATTTTCTGAAGAAAAAATCCGCCCTGATACAGGCCATGGATTAGGCTTAGAGGATGTTAATGGCTCATGTAAATAATGAAAATATATCCACCATACATCTAACGTTGGGCGCAACTTTATGTAGGGTCTTTTATCCCGAATAGTAGTAAATATTTATGACATTTTCTGAAGCAATAAATCCACTTTGATAAAGGTTATGGATAAGCCTTAGAGGACATCAATGGGTTTGCAAACGTTTCCTCATGGAAATAATGAAAATATCTCCACCAGTGGCATGTATCTAACGTTGGGTGCCACTTACTTTATGTAGGCCACAGGCTAGAATTTGCCACTTAATTGAGAGTGACTTGGCTGACAAATATTTTAGGGCCTTGTATCCCGAATAGTAGCAAATATAATTGGCATCTTCTGAAGAAATAAATCCACTCTGATTAAGGTTATGGATATGCCTTGGAGGACATCAATGGGTTTGCAAAGTTTTCCTCATATCTCTCCACCACTCTCCACCATTGGTATGTACCTAACGTTGGGCGCCACTTTTCTCATAGTTTGTTTTAAAAACTTCCGGCTAAAATAAGAAACCTCACTGAAAATTAATTGGTTGGCAGATATTTTTACACCAACTTACGGTCCTCTATCCTGTTAAGGAGTAATTGTTATTGTCATATTCTAAAAAAAAAATTTTAAAAAATCTAAGATATCAATGGTTCCGCAAAGCTTTTATGGAAATAATATAAATATATCCCTCCATTGTTAGTAGCCTAGTGTCCTATACCCGGTTAAATATAATTGCCTTTTTTCTAAAAATACAAATGTATGGCTGATTGCTTTGGGTTCATATTGGCCGCCATTGTCAGGTCAAATCCTAGATTTTGAGATGGCGTCCTTAACACTGGATACAATGGCTGAAATAAGTCATATTGTGGCACATTTAAATCTCCGTTGGGCGCCACATTCTTACACATTAACTAAGATAGAGCGAGAGTGCTAAATTTCCACATCTAGGTGGTCATAGCCCTTCTAGAAATCTGCGATGTCTGATCCGTTAGTTCGATGATAATCCTCCTCGGGATAGCTCTAGCCCAGGCTATGATTGCCAGCAAAAATTATTTAAAAACAAAACTACCACGTCTTCGGTTGACATATATCTTTTTTACAGTTCAGGGTCCTTTATCCTTAGCTTAGTGTCCTAAACCCCTGTAAGGAGTAAATATAATTGAAATTTTCTGCAAAAATCCACCAAAATATCCTTAAAGGATATCAATGACAGCACCGAGTTTTCCTCATAGAAATTACGAAAGTATCCCTTTCTCTTGGAAACCTATTTGGGATTATCCCTGCTGCTCTCTATTATATTCTGACTCACCATGGTTTCTCCATTTTTTTCGCACAGTTGCTATAATTTTGAA